GACACAAGCTCCATGTGTGTAAATGGGTGTGCGAGTATGTGTGTTAGTGTATGTGTAAGCTGAAGCCATCTAACAAAAGGGCAACAATTCGAAAAAAGACGAAATCAAATAGAAACAAGTAATAAACTAGCCGTTGGGCGTGATTGGCTGCATAATACTCGCTCATACTTTAAAAATTATTCAAATTAGATATGGAAAAGTTGAAGTTTTCATAGAACTTCAGCGAGTTTTCAGATTTGGAAATTTTGGAAGACTTTTGTAGCTCTGAGACGGGGCCTGTTTATTAAGTGTCGATGTGGTTTCTGATTATCTGTGAATATATGATATATATCGAACTATCGATATCTATCGATTAATTTATCTATTTATCTATAGATATGTCTATCATCTGTATATATACTTATATTTCTATCTATGACCTCTTTCGATAAGCTATCTTAGGCATGAAAATATTTCTCTGGAAAACTTGAAACTATTAAAGGCAAGAAATGGACGAGATTATCTATATCAGCTAATATACTTTCTTCTTCCCTGGATGCATGAGCATAAAAATCATCTACAATTCCTTACACTGGCTGTCTGTGTGCGTGAGTGTGTGTGTGTGTGTGTGTGTGTTATAAAAAAAGTAGTCGACAAAGGCCAGAAGCTAATCATAAATGATGCATTCGGTCGCTCGCTCGGTTGCTGTTGCCGTTTACTTCTGCTTTTGCTTTTGTTGCTGCTGCTGTTGCTGGCGTTCTATACAAATCTGTTTTATCAAGCTTAACTCGACTAATCAATCAACTTAGACAGTAAGTTATCAGCTTTTAACTAGCTTCCAAAAAGAAAACAATAACATGGAGCAGAAAAAGAAGTTGGCAGAAAAATGTTTCCGTTACTATGCAATTTGCTTAAATCGGAGTGTTACTCAATACTTGCTTTAAGTGTTGCATAATTGCTTTTTTTGCTGTGAGTGTAGAAAGAGCGTTGGGCGAGTGAAAGGAGAACACTTAGCAGTTGTAGATGTGGCTCTAATTGGGGACAGCTAACCAGGATCTTATATCTTAGATCTTAGGCTATCGAATATTTTCAAATGATTGAATAGGATCGGAAGTGAAGATCAGCATCAGCTGTAACTGGACTGGATGATAGACTAAGAGATTACATATGTAAAATCATATCAATCAGCCCGATTTCCCATTTCAGACTGAGAGGAAACTTCATACTTAAATCTCTTAAGACTAACTCAACCATTAAAGGAACTTGGGAACTTTGTCTACAATCATTTAGATATCTTCAAAACCCACAGGATATGTATGCATCGATTATAACTAAGTGCAGTTAGCCCAGCCGCAATAGTTCGCTTCGAGCAAAAAGTTGGTAATTAAATATCTATTTGAGTTCATTAAATATTTGGCATATTATTTTACTTAGTTTACGCAAATCGCAAATGCAATTAGGACAATAAATGAATGAAATAAAAATGAGCCAAGCCAACAGAAGAGGCAAATAATATGCGTTCATAAAGCTTTTTTTTTTTTTTGGCGACATTCGCTATTAAAAAGGCATTAATTGAACCGTAAAATACACACAGGCAGACAGAGAGGGAGAGAGAGAGGGAACCAGATAGGGGGAGCGAGATAGAGAGAGAGATGGAGACAGACAGGCATGCGTGGAAGCAAATGCAATTATAGTCCGTCATTTGCATATATATAAATTGTGTATACACATGTATGTGACATATCTGTGTTGGTATTATAAATATGGCATAAATATGACATGGCAAAGTGCGTTTTAAATAGCTTTACCAAATGCTCTCAAAATACAAACTGTTGCACATGGGGTATATCAGCTGGTCACTCAATAGAACAAATTGTGGAAAAGGTAACTAAAGGGAATTTAATGCTATCAAATTTGTCTATTTGTCTAATACCCAGGCGGATGACGCTATACTTTTAAGCATGTTGTAAAAAAGCTATGTATCGATAAATATCGATGTTGATATAAAACTAAAAGCTGCTTGAATCAAAGTTCAGAGTAAAAACTAAATGAATAAATGGAACATATTTTAATTTTAACTTGAACTAACTCGTCTAATGCATGTGTCGTAGTAGGGATATTCCAAGAATAGATAGAATTGCATTAAAATATGCGTTAACAACTTAAGGGTATTCCCTTTTTCCTACATTTCCTTGTGAATAGATTAAGCTAGAGCTGATTGAAGCATGGTAGGGTTTTCTATTAGAGTTTTAATTTACTCCGATTAGCTCGGGCGACAGCTAAGTCTTTAGAAATAGATAAAACTATACCTGTTTGATTAACAAAAAAAAAAAAAAAAAAAAAATTAATTTAATTAGATCTGATTCTGACAATAGTAAATATCAAACTATTTTTCTAATAATTTTTCAAAACTATTTTTCTAATAAATTCTCACTTCTAAAATATTACCAAAGCTGTACGCATTGATTCGATTGAACGGCAGTTAGTGTAGCTCTTTCAAATTAAGGGTATTCCACAGTAAGTGCTTCTATATATCGACATTTGTTTGTTTGTCTAAGTTTCTATTTGCATGGCATTGTCRGTGTTAAAGCTAATTGGGCGATGACACGCATAGAGCGCAGCTTTATCATAACATATATATATATAATATACACCTATATGTATATATAAAATATATGTATATGTACATAGCTATATATTTATAAATCAAATCGTCGACCATCAAAAGGAAAAAGAATGCAATTTGTGCTGCGAATACAATTCAACCATGTAGAGCACCATTGTGTTTTAAATTGTATTATTTTATTTATTATTATTATAAAATTAACAGCTTAAATTGACCACTCTCTGCGTGTCAGTGTGTGTGTGTGTGTGTGTGTGTGTGTGTGCGTAATTCAATTGAAATTTTATAGCTTGACTAAAAGAGCTTTGCACTTTCGAGATTCGATTACATTTTGTAACTGGAACTGAGTGAAATGCATTTAGTTCATCTATTTTATTTATTCTAAAAATCGATTTAAATTAAGAAAACTTTGCTATCAAAAGTAAGTCCGAGGTGAATTGATTTCATAGACTAATTAGTTTTTAGTGTATGCAAAGGAGTTGAGATTGTCCACTTAGTTTACAGATACGGTATATCTGGGTATATTGGTTTAGTACGAATTTAGGTTACAGATAGTAAGAATCGTAACAGACTCTATAAACTATATATGTTTACTTGATCAGAAGAACGAGCCAAGAGGAAACAGCTTTATCTGCTGTGCTGTGCAGGGCATCGCCCAGTCGTGCCTACCCCACTTGATTTTTTTGAACTTTCTTTCTGCTCTGTATTATATGAATAATGCTGATATACAGGTCATAATGCTCGTAGCTTAATTTTATATATACCCATCTTAAAAACTATCTATACCTCCAGTCTTCTCCCAGATGGATATTATATCTCACTTATCTTTCCTCACACACCTTCCCAAACTCACTGAATAATTGGCATTACATATATTCAAAATGTAATTGAAATGAATCCTAAGGCGTTCTCAGTGCGTTATGAGTGCGGTAGAGGCGGGCAATAGCTGAGTTTTTAATATCTTCCATTACTATATAACGAATTTGGTTAATCAATTGGATTTGTGTGTGCTATTTTCATTAAGTTGCAGGCTTAACCCACTTGGCAGGCCGCTGAAAGGCAGTTGGCTAAAGGAAGTTACAGTCCGTAATGGTAACCAATCCGTGGAGGAAATTTCATTAGCCCAAAGGCAAATGGCCGTGCGTAATAGCGTGAAAAGAAGAGGAACGAGGGAAAAGAAACGTGAAATACTAACGTAAACAGACGTAAATAAATAATGAACATTGATTGTTTATTTGCCCAAGATGAAGAACGGACACCCACGGACTCACAGTTGGAGGGACGGACAGAAAACAGGCGGAGAAACATTGGAATGACTGAGACTGAGACTGAGACTGAGACTGAGACTGAGACTGGGACTGAGACTGAGACTGAGGCTGAGGCTGAGGCTGATGCTGATGCTGAGGCTGAGGCTGAGATTGAGACTGAGACTGAGACTGAGACTGAGACTGAGACTGAGACTGAGACTGAGACTGAGACTGAGACTGAGACTGAGACTGAGACTGAGACTGAGACTGAGACTGAGACTGAGACTAAGACTAAGACTAAGACTAAGACTGAGATTGGGATTGAGATTGACACTGAGATTGGGATTGGGATTGGGATTGGGATTGGGATTGAGATTGAGACTGAAAAAGAGACTGAGTCTTAGGCTGAGACTGAGACTGAGGCTGAGGCTGAGGCTAAAAAAGGGACTGAGACTGAAAAAGGCACTGCGACTCAAAAAGCGACTGGGATTAGAGTGATGAATGATTGATTGACTTATGATCGATTGACTCTCAAAGTTTTTATACAATTAAGTGCTTCCATCCCACTGTACAATCGAAAAGGAAAAGAAGGAGAAAGGCAAGCGATGTGTGAAAATGCCTTGACGGGGTTAATTGATGTTGTTGGCTGAGCCTTCATTTCACTTGGTCAAAGAGTGCTTTAACTGGCCAACAAACACACAGAGACACGCACACACACACATACCTCTACATACCCACACACATACAGGCTTTATAGGTCAACGCCAGTTACACATGGCGAAACGAGTTCAATATGTAGATAAATTCCTATGGAGAGCCTTTGGGGGAGAAAAGAAGTTCTAGCTGCTCGATTGGTGTTAATGAAGAGGCTATGAGGAATTCGTATGCATTGCAGATGATTTGGCACAATTTGCGCTTCCTTTTATCATGAAAATCAAGAAGTAAGCCGTTGATTGAAGTCAAGTCTGGGCTGGAATTCGCATTACTAGCTAATCACCAAACTAACCAAATAGTTGCTAAACTGTAAATTTCATTTCAGTTTTCGTGTAAATTGAAATAGTTAAGTCAATTATTTAGCTAGAGCACAATCAATGACAGCCGTCACGTTTTCCAGCTAAGTTATTTACTTAATTTGTTTTCACAGCACTTACCGCGTTTACATCGCAATGGCGTATGAAGGAATTTTGTGGTATACTAGAGTCAATTACCTGCAAATAAATTACAAGAGTTACGCTTTAAAATACGTGTGCAAATAAGTAGATTTCATTCTATGTTGAGACTTTTGTGCATAGATTGTTAAAGATAGATCAGCAAAAGTCGAGGTATATATTAGACATGCGAATATATCGATAAATACAGGGATGTACCTTAGAGTTACGTTCCCAAAAGTAGACTAAAGCTATTGCTTTTGTTTAGTATTGCATATTTATCTATTTTAAGCGACGCATCCTCTCACTCGATTCTCTCGAATTCGCAAATTCAACTAACTACATTGATTTAGGTGAATTAGTATTGCAGCTCACGCTCTACTTTTCTTCGCCTCTCTCTTTCCCACATGCAACATAGCAATTATGCAATCTGAGCCTCTCTCGGCGATTCTCATATTTAACTCTAACCAAAGCAAAGTAAATTATAACCAAACTCATGTATGCGGCTTTGCATTCAGTTCACTCAAAGCTAGAAATTGTGCAAACTGAGCCGCTCTCAGTGATTCTCAAATTACACTGTAATTAAAATAGGTTATTGCTGGATCTTTTAGCCTAGCCAAAAGCCAAATTAATGCATTACATTGAAATTCCTTTATGTGTTTTGCATTCAGCTAACTCACTGTCACGCACTTTCTCTTCTTCCTCCTCACGCTTTCACTCTCGCTCTCTCTGTCTCTCTCTCTCTCCCACTTCTGCACTCTGCACTCTGAGTTTTCAATTTAGCTATTTCTTGAGTGTTGGCATTGCGATGCGGCCAATGTGTTTAAATAATTGAGGTAGCTACGTCCTTGCCAAAGGCTTTCAACTTTCGCATGTGTGTGCGTGCGTGTGCGTAGGTATTTATGTGTGTGTGTGTGAGTATTTGAGCCTGCATTGAATTCTGTTTTAATGCACTTCTTGTGCAGCTGTGCATAAGAAATCAGCTAAGAAAAATCTACACCTAAATTTTCATAGACTTCAGCTCTAGCTCTGTAGCCATAGAGTTGTCTATGGGAGAGTTACGGGCTGAGCTGGGGGTGGACAGGGCTCGAGCTTTATCATGTCTGCGCATCTGTTTGTGCTTGTTTATAAGTCGTCGTGTCTTGTCGGCTTATAATACGCATATAATAGCCAGCCTTTCTTATATTTTATATATTGGATTTACATCCGCAGTCGCCGTTGCCGTCGCAGTCGCAGTCGCCGTCGCAGCCGAGCCAAGCCAGCTGCAAAGGCATTTCTGCTACGCATAGACAATGCCACAGCTAATGCACACATCTTATACACAAACTAAGCGCTACTACCCCTTGCTCTCTCTTCTCCCTCCCTCTGTGTGTGTGTGTGTGTGTGGCACGCCCACAGAGATCAGATTACGTGTACTGCGAACGCTGACAGCTAGCAAATGAAAATGCGGTTTTTTAACATTTGCATTTGACGCGTTTTTCTGCGCATATTTACAAAATGGCAACTGCAACATGGCTGCCATTCACAGCTGTTGACACACACACACAGACACACACACTCAGGTATATACAGCTTGTTGTTCATTTTGTATCTTATTCTGTCTGCTTCCTTTTACCTTTGCTTTTGGTAGTAGAATATATACATATATGTATGTATATCTGTAGAGCATTTATATTTATACAAATAGTATGCACTCCTCCAAATATCTCTAGGACAAGTTCATTTTAAATATTGGCACAAATTTTCAAACGAATCCATGCCATTTTTTGTATAACCCGAGCCCATTTAGAATGAGAAATCACGGCATGATGTTTTTTTTTTTTTTTTTTAACGTATGTATGACAGCAGAAAGCGTGGCAGACCCTACAAAGTATATATAGTATAAATCAGAGAACAGCTGAGCTCATTTAGCGCTGTCCACCTGTCGGTCCATATATAAAAGAACTTGGGAAAAACTTGATATGCGCGTGATATACACGGACCTAGGAAAAAAAATTTCAAGTCTCTAGCTCTTATATCTTTTGAGATCGACGCGTTCATACGGACGGACGGACGGACAGACAGACGGACGGACAGGGCCAAATCGACTCAGCTCGTCGCCTTGATCAAGAATATATATACTTTCAGGGTATAAAAAAAAAAAAAAAAAAAAAAAAAAAAAAAAAAAAAATCACTAAATATTTCAATGTTTAAAAGTTATCGATAACTTAAACAGCTGCTCAAGCATATTATCATTATCTTAATGAACACCCCCTGTATATCTATATATGTCTTACTCTGTACAATAAACTTGCTAAGGGCTAAAAATGTTTGTTTTAAGCTTGACCCAACTTTGTATTGTATTCATGTTTCCTAAACTTATTTTGTCATTTTCCTTGTGTAATTTATTCATAAGAGCTTTAAGTCCTTTTAATATGATTGCAAGTTAAAGCGGCTTAAATTTGGACAAAAATATTAAGTATTTAATCTTTCATGGTTATCTGAGATGATTTGTACCCTATTTTGGTCAGTTCAATTAGAAAAATGTATTTACTTATATTATATTTTGTATTTATACATTTCTGTCTGGCAAATCTAGCTTTGCATTCGCACTTAATCCCATTGCACTTAGCATTTCGCACTAAGCAATTTTCCATTTATTGGTAAATGCAAAAGTTGTGCTCCTTCGTTTGCTCCACAACTATTAAGCTGTTAAGCTTGAGAGCTAACTACATACTTATTTTGTTGCTTCTTTTTAAACATTTCAGTTCTATTTTAATACAGATTTCCCAACTGCGCAGTTATGATGCCGAGAGCTGCTGCTGTTGGTGTTGCTGGTGTTGGTGTTGCTGCTGCTGTTGCTGTTGCTCTTTGGTCAACCGACCAGTAACATAATTAGCCGCATTTCCCTAGCCCCAGAGCAATGTTCATTCCCATATATATGTATAT